TAGTAGTAAAAAACTCAATTTAATAGCAATGATATTTGATTCAATTACTTCAATGAATTTACTATGGTTGTCCCTTGTTCCCATATGTAATGAGGTAAGGGGAGGTAAGATAGTAGGCTGCCCCCAACAATAAGTTGAGAGTAGCTTCCGTAGGAGACCTCTAAATTATGAAATACCCTCCATGGGACTCGATCCCACGACCTTAAGGTTAAGAACCTTGTGCTCTACCAACTGAGCTGGATGGTCATTTCAAATGAATTTACTAATAATACTCAATTTTAGTAATTACTAATAACACTCAATTTTAGTAATTACTAATAACGATTTACTAATTATGAATTTAATGATTTAACTACTAATGATTTAATAATAATAATGTAATGATTTGATATAAATGATTTACTAATTAAATTCATGATTACTAATAATGATTTACTAATTATAAATTTAATGATTTGATATTTAATGATTTAGTAATGATATGATTTAGTAATGATTAGTAATGATTAACTAATAATGATACTAATAATTTTTATTATTAATATTTAATGATTTGATACAAATGATTTAGTAATGATTTGAAATAATGAAATTGTAATAATTAATAATAATGATTTAATAATTATTACTAATAATTATTTAGTAGTAAAAACCCAATTTAATAGTAATGATATTCGATTCAATTACTTCAATTTGATACAAATAATTTGAATAATGATTACAACTCTTGACGGTGTCGGGGTGTTGTTGAGTAGTAATGTCGAGGCGCACGTCGGTTTCGTTGTGGTTGTTTCACTTGTTCAGGAGTTTGTTCATCATAACCAACATGCTCATTCATCGAGGGCATAGGTTCCGGTGTTGTAAATATTTGCCCACCACCACTATGCTCACCCATCCGAGGACAAATACTTGTACTTGTCATCATAGATATCATCTGATCAACATCATTCGTTGCCTCAAACATGGGAGAGAACATGAGTGATTGATGAGGAACATGTTGAGGAGTGTAGGGCGTAACACCAGAGTTTGAATTACCCTAAACCCTAAACCATTACTAGTAATAAATTCGCTTTACCGGTGAGGCATGCCAACCATATCAATCATTTGAACAACATGAGTTCATACTTGTCAACGCTCACTCCAATACAAGCGGATGAATTTGACTTCTAGAGCCCGGATTACCTTAAACCCTAAACCTAAACTCTAAACCCTAAATCATAAACCCTAAACCCGAGAAACCAAGAAGGAATGGGAGTGTGAGTGGGAGTGAGAGTTCTCACCATGGAGCAGAACAAGAGGCAATGTATAGTATCCCACCAGAATCTTTTGATCACACAAGATCATTTAGTCAAGTGGTTGGCGATTCTGGTGTTACGCCCTACACTCCTCAACATGTTCCTCATCAATCACTCATGTTCTCTCCCATGTTTGGGGCAACAAATGATTTTGATCAGATGACATCTATGATGACAAGTACGAGTATTTGTCCTCAGATGAGAGAGCATAGTGGTGGTGGGCAAATATTTACAACACCGGAACCTATGCCCTCGATGAATGAGCAGGTTGGTTATGATGAACAAACTCCTGAACAAGTGCAATGACCACAATGAAACCGACGTGTGCCTCGACATTATTACTCAACAACACCCTGACACCATCAAGAGTTGTAATCATTATTCGAATTATTTGTATCAAATTAAAGTAATTGAATCAAATATCATTGCTATTAAATTGAGTTTTTTACTACTAAATAATTACATTATTATTATTAAATCATTAGTAGTTAAAATTTAATAATGATTAAATCATTATTATTAAATTTTACTAAATTATTATTTCATTTCAGTAAGTATTTAAAATTGACGTTTTAAACCCTTAAGTAATAAATATGTATATATACTCGAGTAATTGAATCAAATATAATCTACAAAATTACAAAATTATAATTTCATTAATAACACCATTATTGCTTTACAAATGAATGCTTTTATAAATTTCCTTTTAACAACACCTTTCTTTAATAAAATTTATGCTTTTGTTTAATGATGTCCCCGACCCCAATGCTTTTGCAATTGCTTTTATAAATTTTGCTTTGGCATTATTGATTTGCTTTTATTGATTGGTTTTGCTGCAAACTCCAGATGAAAGACGCCTAGATATCCAACGAGCATGGAAATTGTCCCAATTTGCATGCAAAGACGTCGAGAGATCCTATTTTACATGGAAATTGTGTTGAAGAGGCCGAGACATCCTCAAACAAATACAAAAAGACGCCGAGATATCCAACAATAGTTGAAGACGTCGAGAGGTTCAGAATACAACACTAAAGACGTCGAGATATCCCAACTTTTACATTTTTCTGTAGCAAACACCCCATTTGGGGAAATAATCAGCTGATAACATTATTTTGGGAATTAACGTTTCCATTTGCATTAACCTGGCAGTTTTGCCCATTTTGCTTCATGGTATAGGAACTATTGATCTTTTTCTTCTCAAATATGAAACCTAAACACCCCCACCCCACCACCACCGCCACTCAAAGCCTAATTTGGTGGATTGAATGGTGGGCGGCCTACAAAATGATGTTTCTCGGCAAAATCATAGGCATGTTGGAAGAGAAATGGGTGGACAAATTGTCAAAATTTAAACCATCTTCAAGACAACCTCAATGATTTGTTTGACTAATGCCATAATATCCATCATTACATGAAATCAAATCTTGCTTGTTTAACGTTGTGTTATAACTTACAAAAGCTAGGGTTAAAAACTTGAGAAGATATAGTTCTTGAATGTTAATTTAATTTGTTGGCATAGTGTCTTAATTTGCATATATTTGAATATGTATTAATACGAACTTATTGAATGACACCAGCGATAAAAAAATATTTAAGTTCGAATAGTTATAGTTACGTCTGTAGGGTGTGTGTTGTCAATAGCTTAAGAAAAATCGTGAATATATACTAGTACTAACATTAAAAATATTGAATTCAGTAGATCATCATCATTATAATAGATCTCTATAACACTTGATTCAAACTAGTCCTCTAATAATTTAAATATCAATAAATTATAAAACAAAAAGCCTAAAACAAGTTCAATGTATGAACTAAATTATTAATAAATATAAAAAAGGGCAATGAAGTTTTACTACTTTGTAAAGTGGTCCCTCTAAAGGGAGCATCTGCAATGATAGTTTCCCGTTGGCATAAAAGAGAAAGCGTTGTTCCATCATATTCTTCCAACAAAAAGTCATAACCCTAACTATTATTATTTTATCTGTATAAACAAAACAGTTTTTTTTATTAACATGAGATGATCTCTGTTCGAAAGATTCACACATTTGATAATGAATACTTAAGTGTTGTGTTCGAATATAAGATCTCTAGAAATAGCAACTATCTTTTTAACCATTGAGATTGCTTGACTCGTACAACGTATTTAAATAATAAATGTAGATATTTGAAACTATAATAATCGAAACAAGAACAAGTTCGACTTATATATATAAAAAAGAAAAACTATATTTAAATACTTTTTGAAACTTTTATTTGTTAAAATTTTAAATTAATGAAAATGATCATGTATCTTAATTATTATATGATCACTTAGAAATTTTTTTATAACTATTAATATATTATCTACAACCTTGATTGAATATTGTGAAAGTTTATCACGAAAATGGTTTTTTTAACTCAGTTTATTTTATTTATAACCTCGTAATTTGAATGCTTAATTTTAGTTAAGTAATCTAATATTTTATGTAAAATAAGGAACAAGGCAAGTTACTGAAATCATGAAGCACGAGGCAAAGGCACAGCTCATTGCCCATTTAAAAACTAATTGAGCAAATCATTTTACTATTTTAATAATCAAAATGCTTTTATTTAAATTAAATTATAAAATAATAATGATATGGGCTTAACATTAATTCGAATCAAGTTTAAATTAACAAATTTTAAAGTGTATGTGTCAGCTTGAATCAATTCGTGAATATCTATAATCCTTTCCGCGGTCTTAATTGAGTCTATTAATCATATTATGAGGGTTTTTTTGAACGAGGTCTGATTGTTTTTTTAATATGTGAATATCTCTAATATATGCATATCAAAATATAAATTATTAATATATCAAAATTTATATAAAATATATAATATTTTAATATAATTACAATCCATCAAATATATTCGTATACAAATCGAATATACTGATATTTGAGTCTAATTTAAAGCTATAATTTCGGCATAAATTTGCACTTTTTGACTTTATAAGATCATTATAGTATAGGTGAATTTTTTATTATAATCTAACTAATAAATTATTATTTCACGAACCAAATAATCTCAGTAATTAAATAATTATTATTATTTTTTAAGGTTTTGAGATTTAATATCACATATAAATTATATATATAATCATTAAATTATAGATATTCTTACATTTTAATCATTAAATCAAAATTTTAATTAATTATATTATTTATAATTTAAATAATATTAATCAAGTTACTTACACTTAAATTTTAACTGATTATTCATATAATTTATAAAATTTTATAAAAAGACTTTTATTTAAAATAAAATTTAATAAAATACAAATAAAAGGGTAAACTAGACATTTAGTATCTCGACTATCACTTTTGTTCTGTTTTGGCCACCTAACTATTTTTAAAAAATTATATTTGACATTTAGTTTTGGTTTCATTTTGGTTACTCGTAGTTAAAAATTAACGGTGATGCTGACGTATCACAATAAGGTAATACCATATCACATTGGAAAAAATAAAAAAATCATGTCATCATTTCTGTTGATTTTTTAACGATGACTAAAATAAAACCAAAACGTAACGTTAAATGACCAAAACCGAACCACGTAAATAGTTGGATGACTAAATACATAATTTACACTATGATATATAAAAATAAATAATTTAAAATTTATTTATTAATTTAATTATACGTTCTCCCTCTCCTCACAATAAAGCCCCCTTCTTTGAATGAATTCCACCAAAAACCTCCCATTTGTCGTTCCATTTCCGAAACAAACCAAAGCTCCAAAACCCACTCTTTAGCTACAATGGAGGTCTCAGTATTCACATTTGCTTTGAGCCTCGCCATTCTCTCAACCTTGGCTGTCGATGCTTCCCACCACCATGCGACGGCGCCATCACCTTCCTCCTCGACCTCCACCGTGGACTGCTCTACTCTGATCCTCAACATGGCGGATTGCTTGTCATTCGTGTCGGCCGGAAGCGAGGTGTCGAAGCCGGAAGGAACTTGCTGTTCCGGGTTGAAAACCGTGTTGAAATCCGGCCCCGAGTGTTTATGCGAGGCTTTTAAGAGCAGCGCTTCCATGGGTGTTTCTCTGAATGTGACGAAAGCCTCCACTTTGCCCGCTGCGTGCAAAGTTTCTGCTCCTTCTTCCACTAAATGCGCCGGTGAGTGACTTTAGCTTAAAAAAAGGCTGCGTTTTGCTACTCTTTTATGGAACAAATCGTGGGATCTTCATCGATTTTGTTGTTTGATTAACATTATAAAAATTCCATGGGAAAAAATCGTACTTTTGGTTCAATCTGGAAAAAAAATGGAACATCACTCTCATGCATTTGAACAAGATGAAAAAAAAGAAATAGGGAAATGATGATTAATAAGTACTAATGATGTTCTTTGCATTTTTGCAGTGTCTGTCACTCCTGCTGGTGCACCAGGTATGTGTCCTCATAAATCTGATATGTATATGTATATCAGTATATGTATAATCTCAATTTTGTAATCTTAAATTTGTTCTGCATTAATAATCTCAACTTTGCAGATGGGCAACCATCAACAACAGCAGGTGGTGGTGCACCCACAACATCCTCGGAGAGCGCAAACGAAGTAGCACCGGCACCAGCCCCTGGCAGCTCAGGCTCTTCGGTGTTTTCGTTTTCGGCTGGATCTGTCATATTCGCCGGCATTATTAGTACATTAGTCTCTGGCTACGTATTATGTTAAAATCGTTACCGATAATTCGGATTGAGGGAGAGGGATGTAACAACATACGAGAGTGAGGCCATTTTGAGGATTATGTTTAGTTATTTGGGATCATCCTCTTGTGTTTAATTAGTTCCTTTTGTTAATTTTCTTTTATGTTTGTGGTTTACTTTGAAACCCTTTTGAACTTTGGACCATTTGTTTCCCATTTGCAACTCTAATTTTACCTGGAAACGGCATTTTCCCCAATGGGGTTTCTGTTATGTCACTTGGCCTATCTGAACATATATTGTTATGATGTGTAAGGATTGAATCTGGGACCCGATAATTCCTCCGGAGGGATGTGAGAAGCGGAGTCTGCGATGATCCGATCGACATTTGGGTGGTGGATAAGGTTAAACTCTTGCGGGGACATTTCCTCTTTCGGCCACTCTTCCCATCTTGCGTCTAACCCGTCAGTCGGTCACCCTCCAACATCCTGACCACTTCGGCCATCTTGGTCGTTCCATCGGGAGTTGAGAAAGATCGAAAGCCCTCTATCTTGTAGCGAGTTTGAGAAGCATGACACTAAAACCAAAATCATGTCTTTTCTTCTGTGAGTTTTCGATTAATAGATATTCAGAGAAATAAATGGACCTTAATAACTAAATTCAAAAATAGGAACAAAGGATATTCAAGTCAAGGCTCAACTTCACGACGAATGGGTCATCCACGATTTCAACTCCACGACAGAGGATATCGTACCCACGGATCCACGATTTCAACTCCACGACGGAGGATATTGTGCCCACTCAACCACGGTTTCAACTTCACGACGAAGGGAATCGTGTCCACCCATAACTTGGATTTCAACTTCACGACGAAGGATATTCAAGTTAAGGCTCAACTTCATGACGAAGGGGCCATCCACGATTTCAACTCCACGACGGAGGATATCGTAACCACGGATCCATGATTTCAACTCCACGACGGAGGATATCGTGTCCACACATCCACGGTTTCAACTTCACGACGAAGGGAATCGTACACACAAGCATCATCCATCTCTAGATTGGATTTCAACTTCACGATGAAGGATATCCAACTCAATGAATGAGTGTCTGTCAATAAACTTTCAGTATCAGAGTCAATTTTGACTTCACGACGAAGGGAATCGTGCCTACCAACAACATTGGATTTCAACTTCACGACGAAGGATATCTAATTCAAGGCTCAACTACACAACGATTGGGCCATCCACGGTTTCAACTTCATGACGAAGTGAATCGTGCTCACCAGCAACATTGGATTTCAACTTCACGACGAAGGACATCCAATTCAAGGCTCAACTTCACAACGAATAGGTCATCCACGATTTCAACTTCACAACGAAGGATATCGTGCCCACAAGTAACATCCATCTCTAGATTGGATTTCAACTTCACGATGAAGGATATCCAACTCAAAGAAGGAGTGTCTGTCAACAAACTCATTCAGAGTCAATTTCAACTTCACAGCGAAGGATATTGGACTCGAAACAATGCACAAGATTGGATCTCAACTTCACGACGAAGGATATCCAATTCAAAGCTCAAGACAAGAAGGGCTATTTGCCAAATACCTTCGAGTTCGATTACACTCAGCTCAAAGACACATCATTTGCAACATAGCTCAAGGCAAGAAGGGTTATTTGCTAACAAAAGACCTTCGAGTTCGATTACACTCGGCTCAAAAGCACATCATTTACAGTATAACTCAAGGCTAGAAGGGTTTTCTGCCAACAAAAAGACCTTCGAGTTCGATTACACTCAGCTCAAAGGCACATCATTTGAAGCATAACTCAAGGCGAGAAGGGTTATATGTCATCAAAGTCCTTCGAGTTCGATTACATTCAGCTCTCAGGCGTATCCAATTTACAACATAACTCAAGGCGAGAAGGGTTATCTATCAACAAATACCTTCAACTCAGAGGCAAATCAAATTTACAACATAGCTCAAGTCGAGGTTTTTAAGTCGAGAAGAAGACTTGTGTTAGCCGTGCATCAGTGACAAGAAACCGTTTTTCGACAGCACAACTTAAGTCGAGAAAAACTTTCTGTCAACGAAGATTTCTGAGTTCAATTCAGATCCAAGGTCTTTAAACCGAGAAGAAGACCAAAATTGACTACAATTTGGCAACGAGAAGTCGCATCCTAATTAAAATCCCGAACTACGGCTTCAATTCCATATCATTTCAAGATGGACTCGACTTCGCAACGTATGAGCCATCCTCAACTCAATTCGACAGGGAGTTATTGAAACATCATAGTCAATTTTTAACTCCACCGAACGAAAAGTGTGTCTTTTAATCTTTACCCTATCCCCGTTACATGACTAAGGGAAAAGAGGGGTAGCTGTAGTAGACACTACTTTTCGCCCAGTAACTTATCCCCGGAGATCACGACACCAACATCACCAAGTCAACAAAAAATAATCGGTGCCCACCATTACAAGCCTACCCACCGATTTCTCCACTATCACCGCTTCATTCACAAGCCACAAGTCAACAAAGGCACCCAACAATTTAAAACATGTTGGAAAAAAACTAGAAAAATGTATAATTCATGCTATATAAACCCGAACAAAAAATGTAAAGAGGGGGAGACTCTCATTTTTCAAATGGAAATAGCAATAAAATACAGAATTTTTCAGCAATCCTAAGGTATTTCAGTTTATATTTCAGTTTCTTTAATTTATTTGTTCAATTCGAATGCAACTAATAATAAAAAATTTAGTTTGTAATTTTGTTGGTAGTTAACGTAAATTCCATGAGTTCAAAAAAATAATTAAAATAGAAATAAGGAGTTAATTTCCCTTGTTGCGGTGTTCGTCGGAGTCGGAGTAGGGGTGTCACCGTCGTCGGATCTAGAGTCGAGTGGTCGGTGTGGCTCTCGAGTTCATTGGAGATTTGGTCGCCATGGCTGCTCTGTCGCGCTGGTGAAGGAAAAGAAAGCAGAAGGCAAGAAATGAATAAATTGGGATCTGATTCACGTGTAAAATGAACAGAGGAGATATTATGTCTCCTTGGAATTTTTGGGCTAATCACATACTAGGTCCCCAGATACTAGGTGCTTTATGTTTTGTTCACATACTTTAATGGTTAAATCATGCATAAGGTCCTCATTTTCAACGTATTTTATGCTTTGGTCCTATTATGGTAAAATCACCTTTAAGCTCCCTTATTTTCATGTTTTTTGAACTCTGGTTATATATTTTGTTATGTGTTTCGAATATGCATATTGATTTTAATAATTTTTTAATTTAGTCACTGTTTATTTTATTTAGTTACTGTCTTTTGCTTTATTGCATTTTAATCCATATAATTAGATTTTATTATAATTTAAGCCCATGTATTTATTTTAAATTGATTGTTTAGGATCTTATTTGTTCATATTTATTAGGTCCTTCTAGTTTTTATTAATACTATTTTAATCCTTTAATTTTCTATTTGTGCCATTTTAGTACTTTAATTTTTTTCTTTTGCTATTTAATCTCTTGTTTTGTTTTTCTCCTGCAACTCATTCCTATAATTAATTTGATCCAGAAATTTTAATCCTTTCCAATTTAATTTTTTTAATTCGAATTTTCTTTTATTTCTTTTATTTACTCCATTTTATTTCAATTTTAATATTAACTCTTTGTGTTTGTTTGTTTTATTTTTTTTACTTTATTTATGATCTTTTTTAGGATAATTTTAATTAATCAAAGGTAAGTAATTTGGATCGAATTTTTAAATTTTAATTTAAATTATAATTGTTGCAATTAAGACAACCGATAAATTAAATGATACCGAAAGGGCAGTTCAAAGGTGTTAATCCTTCCTTGACTGTAACCGACTCCCGAATACGATATATTTCTGTTAAACGCAGATCAGGTAAGATGGTATCCGATCAACCAAATTTTTTACGAAAAATAAATGATCGGTGGTGACTCCAATATTTTATTTCAAGTCGAAGCCAAATTACGGGCCCACCCGAAAGACGATTATGCCACATTTAATAAACGAATAAACACGAACAGAGGTGTGTTCGATTCGTTTATGTTCACGAACAAGCTTGTTTATCGACTCGTTCATTTATGTTCATGAACAAGCTCGTTTATCCTATTATCTTTTCCTTTTAATTTTTATTACATTTTAAATATTGGTGAAGGTAGAGACTAATTGAACACATGATAAAAGTTATAATTTAAAGAGAAAATAACCTCAGTGACCGAAAATGCCTTAAAATATACGATTTTAACCAACTTTTTTTGGATTTTCTAAAATGACCAACAAATTCGCAACACGAACTCCAATTTCGCAACCTAGTTTCCAATTTCGCAACGCGAATTTGTAAATCGCAACATAGAAGTCAAATTCGCAATGCGATAGTCAAATTCGTAACACATAAGTCAAATTTGCAACACGATAGTCAAATTCGCAACACAAAAGTCAAATTTGCAACGCGATAGTCAAATTCGCAATGCGCAAAACACAATATTAATTTCGCAACATAAATGTAAACAGTATTATCGCAAATCATAACCTAAATCACAACTCAGTCTCATCTCCATCTCTCACTCTCTACGACGACATCCGTCCCCATCTCCGACGAAATCCATTCCCATCTCCGGCGAAATTCATCTATCTCCATCTCTCAGAGCAACCCTCACAACCATTCATGGTCAGAAATGGAAAATCAACCACAGAGTGTTAGTTTTTTAATCTCTTATTTTTATTTTGAAATTTTTTATTATTATTAGATTTTTCTTATATTGGTGATAAATTTTCTTGTAATTTCAATATATATAAAGATTAACCATTTCACTGAGATTGCTTAGTAAATTTATTCAGTTGCTGCTAATACTGCTAAATTGTTTAGTCTTTAACCCTGTGAAGTTAGTATTTGTCTTTGTTTTGTCTTTTTGTTGAAGAAATTCAATTCATTCAAGTTTGAATTTGTAGAAGAATAGTTTTTAAACTTAAATTTGCAACACGAAAATGAAAATCGCAACGTGATTTTAGTTTCGTGTTACGATTTTCTCGTTGCGATTTTCATTTTCGCGTTGCGAATTTAAGTTTCAGAAACTACTCTTATTCTGCAAATTGAAACTTGAAAATTGCATTACTTCAACAAAAAGACAAAACAAAGACAAATACTAACTTCACAGTGTTGCTAATTTAAGTTTCAAGAATAAACTA